TGTAGAAATTTTCAAAAAAACTATTGTCGTAATGTTAGTAGCAGCCTAATCAGTAACAGTTGGCGCGATTGTTACTCCGTCCATCGTGAATTTGGCAACGAAGGTCATCGGTTTCGTCGCAAGTTATGCCAATTTTATGCTTAAAAAGATCCGATGGATTAGTAATGTTCCAGATTCCTGAAAATGGATAACGACCAGCAGGAAATGTACGGTGCCAGCCTTGGTTTAGGAACAAAGACGTGTGTGAATCGAATAGTAGGGGTAGTTAATTGGAACTTTTTTGGTGTGTGACGGGAAAAGCGCGAGAAAACGAGCCAAAAAAGACGTAGAAACTTCAAAAGTCCAATCTTATTTAGTTCTTTTTCAGGAAACACTGAGACAACAAGATTTCGCCTCCATCTTCCCGTTTATAAACCTTTTTGCCACTCCGTAATCAATTTGGTTAATGCATAGTCGCGACCGCTCGCGAAAGGCATCATAGGAAACCAAAGGTCACCACTGTAGCTTTCTGAGGGGAAACTCCTGAAGAAGTTGCAGGCTGACCGCCTGAGCGAACGAAAGCGAAGTATAAAAGAGGCAGTAATTAGGAAATTGTTTAGTGTTGTTGTTATTAGACTTCAAATCATCTTTCCGATCAGTAACATTGCCCGTCGGCGACTGTATACCTCGGTTTATATTACTGTCTTCTGTCAATACTTACCCAGCAGACAACTTTTGATCTGTTTAGTTGATCTTAAATTGTTCTCATTTATAATCTATATTTCTCTTTTTAGTACATTACTGAGTGTGGGTGGACCAGTGTCAAGCAGAATTTTTGTTTGTACAGTATAAAGGTGAAGTAAAAGGGTTGAACCGTAAGGAAGGACTCCAGAAGGTGTCACCATAGAGGTGCATAAATCATCGAGCTGTAAGAGGTTTAAAGCATAGAAATCGAGGGTCTCAAATCAATGAAGGTTACAGTTTATCGGTTTGTACCGTGGCGAGTAAGGGCTAAATTGCGGCCCACAGTAAGGATATCATATTACTAGAAAGGCCTTTATTGGGAGTGTAGGAAGATTAATACCGTAGTAATTCTTCATTCTAAAAAGTTCTCCGTTTGCTACGACATGCATTATGGGTCTAGATCAGAAGCTAAATTTGAGTTCTTTTGATTAATTGCCCCGATAAGAACTGGAAGTCTAAGTTTCTCAGCTGCTGTAAAGTGTCTCCATCGGTCTGCTTATTTACGCCCCTATAACTGCTGTAACGGGATGAACTAAACGAAGTGAAAAAAAAACATGAAAGTTAAAGGGAAACGACTGCTCAAATACAATTATATGCTCTCCTCCTGCATAGACAGTGAAAACATTTTCTGAGAAGTGGATTTTGCAACCGTATAACGACCCAAAACATACCTCGATATTCTATGTGTAAGAAACAACAAAGCATGAGTGTTTACCAGAGACTTCTGACTTTGAACCTGAGAGGAATTTTATAGAATGAGATGTCTGTAAATTAGAGAGAAAAACAAGGGAATATTCAAAAGCTTGCGGCAGCGGTTCGAAACGGTCCAAGTGAAGTATCAAAGAACGGGAGCAGGTGGCTAATAGGTTTGATGATGAGTAGTTAGAAAAAGAAGTCAAGTGTGTCAGGTACCAACTCTTTTCTACCTTATTATATTTTTCTTGCCGTAATTTTCGTCACTCATTATATAAATGTCTAAGTTTAACAAACCTTGTTAAGATTGTACACTTTTTCCGCTGTTTTGATATTCAACGTTTGTATATAGTAATTTTATGCATAAAAGTTGTCTTTATGCTTATGTGACTCTTAACAATGAGTTTTCAGCGTTGATCAAATGCATGAAAAAAAGATAGACAAAGCTACTTTGTAATAGAAATTAGATTAGTGAAGTTTTTTCCCTATCAGCCTTAAAATCATCGCGGCCACATGAAGAAAAGTGCAGTAAACTGTACTTAAATTTGAATTGATATATTCTCTGCAGAGATACTTTACAGGAACACAATAAAACGCTCGAGATGCTTTGATTCAGAGCCAACCAAAGGAGATATCATGAAACGCTCAAATTGTTAGCCAAAGTTAGCAAAGACCGGGAACCGAAAGATAACTGGCATCGAAACCCTGCAGATTAAAGAAAATGGCGTAACCTGCCACCGGTTCAGTGTTTGGTGCTTCACCTGCCTCACAACAACATTTGAATATTCGGAGCACTATATCTGAAAAGTAACGACACAGTGACCTGCCCAAACTCCCCATACGGCAGCCGGATATCCTGATTATCAATTATGACCCAATCTCCTCTTTCCCAACTATCCTTCCACCATACCTTTGGCCCAACCGCACTAACACATACGAACGTTACCTACTTAAGAAAGGTCATGAAATCAAGAGGAAATTTACAAAACGCCAGAACTAATAAAGTTGCTATTCACTACCAGTTGCCCAGAACCTAGATAAACGACAACAATAATTATCCTTCAGCAGCCAGCGCATTAATGAAACCTACCATCTAATGAAAAGTTACACCATTATAAAGAACTATACTGTCGTAACAATACATATACAAACTATTTGAATACGTTTATTGATAACCAGTTAGTGGTATAATACAGAGTAAAAGCAGAATTAAATACACCCATATGAAACAATATATGCAGTTCAACACAAGCAGCCCTTGACATAGTGACAAGAAAACAAGAAAACAATAAAGGAAAACAAAAGAAAAAAACGTACATACGGCTTTTCGAAGCCATCATAGGCAGTAATTTAGAGCATAACGCAAAGCTACAATCGCTAATTCGGCGGATTTCACGACAAACATACGGCACAAAACTGCT